ATGGGGCCATGGTGCCTCCCTGGCACGGAGCCTGTAACAGCTGTGCGGTCCAGCCAGGCTCTGCAGCCACACAGATGTACTCAAATCCTAAGGAGGGGAAAACTATGTCAGCCAGTAAAGAGGGGGCCCTTTGCCCCTTATCCACCAGATTAGTTGTTGGCGAAAGACACAGACACTCAACATCAAAGTTTTGCAGAACGGTTTGCTCATAAAATAAAGATCTCAGTGTCACCCCTGTCCCCCTTCTCTCTTTCCCCAACCCACGGCATCTGTGTGCTAGTAGCACCACAGGCAATCCCTAAAGGGAGAGAGGTTCTTGGATCTATATGAGTCCCCCCTCACCACCCCCTCACAATAGGTATGATTGTCCTTAAAACTGGTTGGCTTGTGAAGTAGCCAATTTGCAAAGAGGTAAGGGACACTTACTATTGTGCAAATTAGCCGGAGGCTTTGGGCCTGTCTCAAGGACATACCTTAAGATGATGTCAGGTTCTATTTATAAATCCAAGTCTATTTTACTGCAGTGGATACTTGGTAGTACCCATTATAGTTAAGGATGCAAAAAGTTTCCGTTATTGGCTCTTGTTTTTATGTGCTCATAACTTTCCAATACTGTCACCACTTGGACTGAAATTTTCCTTTGTTATTCTATGCCAACATGCAAATGTTTTGGGGAAGGCTTCAACAAAATCCTTCAGCTGTTTCTGAGTTTGAGAGAGTGGAAAAAATACACTTTTGCCTGATGATAAAATTCTAACCACACTCTTTTGAATGGGACTCTTGCAAAAATATCTAGTTCAAAACTTGACTCAGCCTGGACCTGGTACTTAATGAGAACTGTTGCTTTTGCTTGGTTTTGCACATAAAAATGTCTGAGCAAACTACAAAACAACTTCATAGCATGCTCAGTATCATCTATATGTATGTCATTGCCCTCCACTGGATAGAATCAGAACTTTTCAACAGTTTCATAGGCACTATAATGCTGACAGCTAACACAGATTTTTATTCTTATTTAGCTCAAGTGCTCATGTCCTGTGTCTTGGATTGATTTTGTGCCTGCTGTCACTTAGAAGCTCAGAGGGGCCAAGGTGTCCAGCATAGTGACACCATGAAGGTCCTAGACTGGCTCAGATTTTTATCACAAATTGCATATTATAAAGTTTACAGGATGTACAATGTGTAAAAGTTAATTTTGCTGTTGATGCTTAAGTTTGCATTAATGATGGGACTATTGAGTGTTTCTTTTTTACATTTAATGTTAAGTAGCTGGATAAATGAGTTTCTGGGAGTGCTCACAGCTTCCTTGTCATCCCTAAGGAATATATACATAAAGGTATTTACTCTGGACTGATTGGTTTTTATAGAAAAATTGAAAATGAGTACTGAAAAAAATCAGTACAGATCTAGTTTTGATTGGCCTAAATAATTATTTTTAGTATACGAATTGACTACACGTGACACATTTGGGACCCAGTTTCATCAGTGATCCCTGATATAAAATTCCTTTTTAAAAAATCTTAAAGTTCTCTTCTTAGACAGTAACCCACAGCTGCTTTTTCAGAACTATTCACAATATCAAATAAAAAAACCTTGACTGAAAAAGGCTACAATTACAAGAGTAAATAACACAAAGAAATATAAAGGAATTTAATTAAAAGTAAATCTCGATTATGAAAGGTGTGTCACATAGTCATTTAAAGCCTTGTTACAGGAAAGCATCCTTATTCAGGAGAATATTTAAGCATGTGTTTAACAAGTCAATGGGACTTGAGCACCTGCTTAAATGCTTTCCTGAATTAGAGCTTAAAGCGAAGGACTGGGAATCAGGACTCCGGCGTTCTGTTCTTAGATCTGCCACTGACTCACAGTGTACATTTGGATAACAGACATAAGCTCTGTGTCACAGTCTAAATAGGGATAATAATAACAATGCTTAGAGAAAGGGGTTACGAGGTTAATTAATGTTTTGTATTGTAGAGTGCCTCTGAGATCCTTGGGTGAAAGGTACTTTACACATGCATAATGTTTACAGAAATGAGTCTGTCATTACAGATTTGTGCAGAAGGCTATATTAAAGCCAAGTAATTTAAATATCAAAATATTAAGTGAAAGACCAGATTGTCCTTTGCCTGCGTGTGTATGCATGCGCAGGTGTGTGTATATGCAAGTGCAGGGCGGGGACAGTACAAGAAGCAGTTCAGGTGCACTACTGGGGGACAGAGAAGAAACAGTTAAAAGATGACCTGTGTGCCAGGCTCTGCATCAGCCCCTATGCAGTGCCTAATAGCCACAATTTAGTCCTAACTGCAAAAAACATTTTAAGCTGTGACTCAAAGTGATCAAAGCTTGGGAATTCATAATTTAGTAGATGAGCCTGTTCAAGGGCACTGGAACCTTTGTAGCAGAGGGGGGCCACTGGTGCTGGAACTGGGAAGGCCATGGGCCCATGCCTCCCCACTTTTTAACACGGGCATAGTTTGGGGGCCAGTGGGCAAGGGTGCAGCCCCTACTGCTGCTGCTCCGCACTTACTTGAGGCTTGCAGTTTGGGGGGCAACACCACCTCCTGTCCCCCAAACTATGCCCATGTTAAAAAATGGGGGAGGGCATGGTCCCTTGCTCCCCTCCCCCTGATTCTGGCACCGTTGGGCCTGTTTCCTTACAAAACTGTGAGGTATATGACTTACGGTACAATTTAGATCCATCTGCATCATCTAACCTCACAACAGATGTTTCTCTATTCAAAATCAATGTTGAGGGTAACATGATTTTTAAGAACAGAATATCACTCACCACTAGGGTGTAGCAGTTAAATGTGTATCTTCTGGAGACAGTATGTGTCTGTGGATTTATTGGGGTAATTCAAATAACATACATATCTCAGCTCTGGATGTGGTGCACCTCTTCATGCTGTAGTTTTTTCCCCACTAAAATAGAATTTCATAGGTTTGTGCTTCTGTTTTACAGTTAGGGATCATTAAATATGAACAATAATTAGCTCTCCAAATACGGATGGGATTTTCAAAAGCACTCAGCTGCGCCTTGCTCCCAGTGAAGTCCATAGGAGTTTTTATCATTAGGAGCAGAGTCTCCGGTCAATGCAGAGTGCGTTTGAAAATCCCATGCTGAATGTTTTTGTATTATAATCTGGCGTTTCTCTTTATTGCATAAATAAATACCATTTTCTAATAGTGGGGTCTGTTAAATTGTGTAATAGCCTCCAAAGGGCAACTTGATCACTTGGGATATTTAAAAACTTGACAGTGCACTAGAGAATGTGCCGTGGGGAACAGATCTTTGCCGACAGGGGAGGGTTGGACTTAAAGGACTTCACCCATGTCTGTTTTCTATTGGCTGTATCTATTTGGAGCTGTTTTCGCCCTGCAGAACCCATTTCCTTGGATTGCGCTAAATGAACCCTATAGGTGCATACAGATCTCAGGATATTCAGATCTAGATGTTTGTTTCAGGCTCTCTTTATCTGTAGGTAATGTTTAGGGTTCTGGTGTTCTACTCTTTTAAAAATTGCATTGTGTTTAATAACTGTCAACTATTTCTGTATCAAATGTACTCAGTTTACAGACAAAAAGACATTTCCCTCTTAATCACAAGCCATACAATCTTAGCTGGAGCTCTGTGAGCCAAGCTCAGTGCTTTCCTTTTGTCATAATAAAGGTCCTGTGGGCCAAACTACTAGTAAGCTTGTTTAATGGGTTTACACAAGTGTAATGATTGGAACGTAACAATTCTGTTGATGACACACAAGAAGTTTTGGAATCCAGCTCACTTGATTAATTTTTTGACTCTGCAATGCTCTCTCTGTGTATTTATGTATATACAATGTGCTGGGTGGGAAAGCGGGGGTTATATTGTATATACACACATTTCATACAGACACTCTGTGTATAAATATATATTTTTAAACTGCAAATAGTGACTTACTTAGATAGAAATAACAGTAAAATATTTCCATGAGGTTTAAAAAAAAAATATTCCTCAGTTTGTGGTACAATCAACAGGAATGATTTAATCAAAGAACAATTTTAAAGTGCTACTTTGGTACGGGCACTATTTCTTTTGTAATGCACTGAAATCATTACGTCTTTAAGGCCTTCACTCTGTAAAGGGGCACCTCAGAGCTGGAGAAACCAGGGCCGCCTGCCGGCTCCTTTCCCCAATGAGTGACGGTAGGGGAGAGGCAGTTGGCTCTGTTTCCAGGATACTTGGTGGATCCAGTCACCATGCTGGCTGGCCTTTTCAAGGCTGTCATCAGATGTCAATGATGATGTCAACATAGAGTATGGCCCTCTGAGCACTGTCGCCAGCTTGGGAGGATAAATATAACTTTGCTCATCTCACCAATTTTGAATGATTGGGAGGATGATATTTGCTAAATATATTGTGTGCAATATGATATTGTTATATGTGTGTAACTGTTATATATGTGTGTGTGTGTATGGATGTCTATGTATTTGTTTGTACAGGTACACACACACATAGTATGTAATATATGTATGTGTGTTGTGTTAGGCTTGTTTCAAATCTTGTGGTTTGTTATTCTCTCCTCCTCCCCTCTCCTCCGAAGAATCAAAGCACTTTTCAAAGGACTTAATTTCCATGCTCTGGAGCTCATGGGCAACCATTCAATAAAAGCAAAATAAGGAATGTGGTCATGGTTCTAAAAACATTTCACATTCTTCGAACTGATGCCAGTTATATGCAATGACAGTAATCCTGTCTAATCCCCCACACATTTTATCTTTGTACACCTGCTTCTACTGTCTCTCTTATCAATTTATTATACTTAGAGCCAGAACTATAGAAGAAGGCAAGGCAAAGGAACAAAAGAGACATATGTGCTAAATGTACTGTGTTATAAATTTGCATTGTAGAAGAGTATTAGGACATGTTTTAGTTCATTGCTTACAGTCATCTTCTGTTATTTTTCTTTCTTTTTCTTTTTCTTTTTCTTTTTCTTTTTGTGTGTTTTATTCCGCAGGTTAACTGAAGCACACCGAATAGCTGTCAAAGTCATAAGGAGAATGCAATATTTTGTGGCCAGAAGAAAATTTCAGGTAAGCAGCAATATTAACAATAGGGACAAATGAGAAAGATAAGTGAGGGGGGGAACAATGGGTTGGACTTTGAAAATGCTCAGTGGCTACAATTTGCCCTTCAGCACAGGGCTGGGAAAAAACCTATGTACTTAAACATTAGGCCTCATGCTTGCCTTCTACATAGGGGCAAATTTCACAATGTGTACAGAACTCCTAGTTAACGTCAGTCTGGTGCTCCAGAACATTCAAGCATTCAGCATTTCTAGAATCAGCCCCATCATTCTTTTTCACTCATATTTTTTTGTTGCACCTTTAATTTCCAGAATAATTTTAAAAATATTAGTTTTTTTACCTGTTGAATAAAATGATCAATATGCTCATGTGCATTGTTCAACTAACAGAAAAGACTACATAGAGGGTCCTGCTACAATGCAGTTGTATATGTATCGTATATGATGATCATCTAGTAAGCGTCTGAAAAAAAGACTGGAGAATAGTTTGAGTGCAACAAAATAGATTTAACTGTTTTAGTAGTATATAATACGATGTTGCTTTCAAAATCACGAACAAGATTTTCCAAAATGACTAATGGTTTTGAATGCCCAACTTGAGACATCTTAAAGGGGGCCTGATTTTCAGAAAGTACTGAGCATCAATTTTCTGAACATTCACTTTCTTTAAGGACTCTCAAATTATTCATCCAAAATTTGAAGCACCCAAAATCACTTGTCACTTTGAAAAATCTTTCATTCACCTGCCTAAGGTCTAATTCCCTAATTTCCCATTACAATAACACATTATTATTAATTTAATTATGATATTCTTCTTGCAGTAACTAGTGACCTGATTTTCAAAGGTGCTGAACACCTCCAGCACCCACAAAGCTCAATAAAATATGTGGAGACTAATTACTTCTGAAAATCTGGCTACAAGTTTCCCACACAATGCATTAGTTCATAGTTTTCATACTATTTTGAGGTGATATAAAAAATAAAAAAGAGAGAATATGGAGTATGGAGAGAATAGGTTTCAAGCAGGTTTGACTTAAGCCCTAATATGTAATCACAAGGGACAGAAATGTGAGATGAGATTGCAATGTTCAGAACCAAAGGACCTGAGTTCGTAACTTTTTTAAAGATATCCTAGCCTAGAAGTCTTTGTGTATTACATGAGTTTGGGAAATCAATATTGAGATGACCTTATGGCCACAAAACATAGGCTAAGGTAGACCAGAGTGTGAGATAGATTTGGGGAATTCAGATACAGATGACTTGAGTTTCAGATGTGCTTGGATGTCTATACTCAAAAGACACTGAATTTGAGATGGATTTAGAATGTTGAGTCCAAATGGCCTGGACCAATGATAACTTAAGGGGGAAAGGAGTCCAGTAATGGGGAGTCTGAGAATTACTTGCAGGGCCAGCCTTAGGGAAAATGGTGCCCTATGTGAACTTGTATTTTGGCTCCCCTGCCGCCTCCCTGCCCACCCCACATTGCCCCTGGGCCACACTGCCTCCCCCAGCCTTCCACCCATCCCCCCATCATCCCTGGCCCCACTGCCTCCCCATCCATCCACCCCATCACCCCCGGGCTACACTGCCTCCCCCCCATTACCCTGAAATCCTTTCTGCAGCCTCGCACCCCAGGCCTGCCCCACTCCTTACCTCTTGGCCACGGCATCACCCTGACCACGTCGCCCACCCGTAAGGCTGGCCCTGATTACTTGGACTCAGCGAGTTTTGCCAAATTTGCCAAATTTTCCTGGAGGTCTCCATTATATCCTTCCCCTAGTTGTACTGTATATTGTAGTATTTTTCAGTCAGAACTTGAGAAGAGATTGTGTTTAGTCGAGGCACGTCTGTGGATGCTGTGCCAGAAGTTGGCAAGGGCATAAGATGTTCAGGTCTAAGGAGGGCTATTGGGAAAATGGAAGAAAAAGAATAGAAGTAGAGGGATTTTTTTTTTAATCTTGATTCTTTCCAAACTTTAGACTGGGCTCAGGCAGCATTCAATGTAGAGTACTTTACAGCACAAGGCTTTAGTGCTGATGTTTTGGTAGCAGGGATAAAGAGAGTTTTAGGGAGGAGAAGTGAAATTTTATTGGGAATGAGGAGAATTAATTATGCACATGGTAACACATATTTAAAAATAAAAACAAAAAACCTAGTACATTTAGGCTCTGGGCCGTGCATCATCTGTAAATGGAGAGTGCCCAAAAGAAGAGAGAGGGTTAGCCAAAATGCACTCAAAGCACCCCTGCCAGTCAATCCAAAGAGCGATATTGGCACTGTTTCTCTGGGGGAAGACAATAGCCTGCTTTTCTGGCCAGAAATAGTGATGTGTCAGCGTCTACTACAAATGTAGCTGAGAAAGTGGGGGGGGGAAGCGGGGTATTGGCAGTAAATTGAAAGCTTTAAACACACACACACACATCTACACACAACAACAAAACTCTAAGCTCCGTTGAAAGCAATGCTACAGGTAACTACTGACTGAAGAGCACGAGGAGCGTATTTTGTCATGAAGAGTTTTTGCTTCTTCATTTTACAGGATTTGTTTCCACTCCAGTTGCATGCTTTTTATTTGAAATGTCTATATGGCTGCCTTCCAAGCATGACTCCAGCACATACTGTAGGTGTTCTGTGCATGTGTGCAATGGTGCATGCTAATGGCTCTGGCTGAAGCTGTGGCAGAGTGGAAACAGACAACAAGATGACTAATGAGCTGTTTTCAGTTATTTTCAATTACTAGATTTGCCGTGTACCTTTTTTTTCTTGATCCAAAGCCAAAAGGAAGACATCTTGCCCCATATTTCCCACTGGGCCGATGGCTCCAAAAATGCTTACATTTTCAAAAGCAGATCAGCTTTTTCCTCCCCTAATTTGTCCATACTGCACCTTTTATAATCACATCATTTCATGCAAATTACCCAAGCTTATTTTTAAAACTCCATCTCACCAGCCATATCCATCAATTGGCGGTTAGCAGCAGCAGCTGGAGTCAGGATTAGAAAAGGAAGAAGTCAGAGAAACGCTGGAGTTTTAACCTTTTTGCCTTTGTAGCTTCACTTCTATTTTTAATCTTAGTTGTTCCTTTTTGCATCTAGAACTGTTGGGTAGATATGGGCCAAAACCAACTCCAAATCTAAATACAGTCAAGCTTTGAGGAAGCTCTTATCTCACCAATGATCTAGACCAAAACCCTGTCACTAAGCATCCCCAAAGTTTGGAAGAGTTTGAATCTGGATCCAAGCTTTATAAATTGGGCTTCTCTCTACTGTTGAGGATTATGACAGAATGACGTCTAGATGGTTCTGTAATAAACTGAGGAAAGTCACACATGTAACCTTCATTCAATTATGTACCATGGCTTTCTGTGCTTAAAATGGACTATGACACTCCAGTATTTTTCTCAGCATGTGATAGTGTAAAGGTGTAACTCTTATTGACAGTAATGGGTATCACTCAGCTATGTTCCTGTGCTGAATATGCACTCCTTTAATTTCCAGGAATATCATATTTTTCAGTCATTACAGAGAATTTTCCAAAACAACAAAAGCTCTAGAGGATTAAAACTGATGGTCCAACTGATATAAATGAGTGATGTAAAACAAGGGTTATTACGCAGTCTCTCATATTACTCCTTTCACAGCAAGCTCGAAAACCATATGATGTACGTGATGTAATTGAACAATACTCTCAAGGACACCTTAATATGATGGTTCGCATAAAAGAACTTCAAAGAAGGTATGCCCTGTCTATCTAATCAAATATTTGATTTCTCTGGTACTGGCTGGCTTTAGAAGAGAAGTGTACTTAATGAACAGTAATTGTCAAAAATTGCAGGCTGGGAGCATGATATCTGCAAGGTTTGACTTAGTCAGTTTTTAACCCTTTTTTTTAACAAAGTTCAAAATTTTTGTCAACATCCTCCGCAAAAAATCAAAAGGGAAGAAAAGAAATTGAGGTAAATAGTGCAAAATTTAGTGCAGGTTATGAGCATTTCTGACCAGTTCTCACAAAAGAAAAACTCTTCCAATAATTACTTCCCTTTCTAGCTCCTCTCTATGGGTATGTCTACACTACGAAATTAGGTCGAATTTATAGAAGCCATTTTTATAGAAATCGGTTTTATACAGTCGATTGTGTGTGTCCCCACATAAAATGCTCTAAGTGCATTAAGTTGGCGGACCACGTCCACAGTACCGAGGCTAGTGTCGACTTCCGGAGCGTTGCACTGTGGGTAGCTATCCCACAGTTCCCGCAGTCTCCGCCACCCATTGGAATTCTGGGTTGAGATCCCAATGCCTGATGATGCAAAAACACTGTCGCGGGGGGTTCTGGGTACATGTCGTCAGGCCCCTCCCCCTCCGTCAGAGCAATGGCAGACAATCGATTCGCGCCTTTTTACCTGGATTACCTGGGTTACCTGTGCAGACAACATACCACGGCAAGCATGGAGCCCGCTCAGCTCAGCTCAGCTCACCATCACCATATGTCATCTGGGTGCCGTCAGACGTGGTACTGCATTGCTACACAGCAGCAGCTAATTGCCTTTTGGCAGTAGACGGTGTAGTATGACTGGTAGCCGTCATCGGCTATCTGGGTGCTGGCAGACGTGGGGCTGCATTTCTACATAGCAGCAGCTCCTTGCCTTTTGGCAGTGGATGGTGTATTATGACTGGTATCCGTCATCATCGTATTCCTCAGTGAGTTCAATCAGAGGCACCTGGGCAGACATGTTTTGTCTCCTGGCCTATTGAACCATCTTGACGATGATGGCTAGCAGTCGTAGTACATCATTTTCTGCCAAGCACCCAGAAGATGCTGATGGCTATCAGTCATGCTGCACCGTCTGCTGCCAACTTAAGATGTAAAAAATAGATGGACCAGATTTGTTCTGTATTCATTTGCTTCCCCCTCCCTCCGTGAAATCAACGGCCTGCTAAACCCAGGGTTTTGAGTTCAATCTGTGGGGGGTCCATTCTGTGTGACAGTTGTTTGTGTTTCTCCCTGATGCACAGCCACTTTGTTGATTTTAATTCCCTGTACCTGTAAGCCATGTCGTCACTCGCCCCTCCCTCCCTCCGTCAGACAATAGTTTTGCGCCTTTTTTCAGCCCAGACGCCATAGCACTGGGATCATGGAGCCTGCTCATATCACCGCGGCAATTATGAGCACTATGAACACCACGCGCATTGTCCTGGAGTATATGCAGAGCCAGAACATGCCAAAGCAAAACCAGGCAAGGAGGCGATTGCAGCGATTGCAGCGCGGCGATGAGAGTGATGAGGAAATTGACATGGACATAGACCTCTCACAAAGTACAGGCCCCAGCAATGTGCAAATCATGGTGTTACTGGGGCAGGTTCATGGCGTGGAACGCCGATTCTGGGCCCGGGAAACAAGCACAGACTGGTGGGACCGCATCATGCTGCAGGTGTGGGACGATTCCCAGTGGCTGCGAAACTTTCGCATGCGTAAGTGCACTTTCATGGAACTTTGTGAGTTGCTTTCCCCTGCCCTGAAGCACCAGAATACCAGGATGAGAGCAGCCCTCACAGTTGAGAAGCGAGTGGCGATAGCCCTGTGGAAGCTTGCAACGCCAGACAGCTGCCGGTCAGTCGGGAATCAATTTGTAGTGGGCAAATCTACTGTGGGGGTTGCTGTGATCCAAGTAGCCAACGCAATCAAAGACCTGCTGATATCAAGGGTAGTGACTCTGGGAAACATGCAGGTCATAGTGGATGGCTTTGCTGCAATCGGATTCCCAAACTGTGGTGGGGCGATAGACGGAACCCATATCCCTATCTGGTCACCGGAGCACCAAGCCTCCGAGTACATAAACTGCAAGGGGTACTTTTCAATGCTGCTGCAAGCCCTGCTGGATCACAAGGGACGTTTCACTAACATCAACGTGGGATGGCCGGGAAAGGTACATGATGCTCGCATCTTCAGGAACTCTGGTCTGTTTCAAAAGCTGGAGGAAGGGACTTTCTTCCTGGACCAGAAAATAACCGTTGGGGATGTTGAAATGCCTATTGTTATCCTTGGGGACCCAGCCTACCCCTTAATGCCATGGCTCATGAAGCCGTACACAGGCAGCCTGGACAGGAGTCAGGACCTGTTCAACTATAGGCTGAGCAAGTGCCGAATGGTGGTGGAATGTGCATTTGGACGTTTAAAAGCGCGCTGGCGCAGTTTACTGACTCGGATAGACCTCAGCGAAGCCAATATTTCAATTGTTATTGCTGCTTGCTGTGCACTCCACAATATCTGTGAGAGTAAGGGGGAGACATTTATGGTGGGGTGGGAGGTTGAGGCAAATCGCCTGGCCGCTGATTACGTGCAGCCAGACACCAGGGTGGTTAGAAGAGTACAGCAGGGCGCGGTGCGCATCAGAGAAGCTTTGAAAACGAGTTTTGTGACTGGCCAGGCTACGGTGTGAAACTTCTGTTTGTTTCTCCTTGATGAACCCTCCCACCCCGCCCCCCCCGGTTCACTCTACTTCCCTGTAAGCTAACCACCCTCCCCTCCCCCCTTCGAGCACCGCTTGCAGAAGCAATAAAGTCATTGTTACTTCACATTCATGCATTCTTTATTAATTCATCACACAACTAGGGGGATAACTGCCAAGGTAGCCTGGGAGGGGTGAGGGAGGAGGGAAGGACAAGGGCACACTGCAGTTTAAAACTTTAACACTTATTGAAGGCCAGCCTTCTGATGCTTGGGCAATCATCTGGGGTGGAGTGGCTGGGTGGCCGGAGGCCCCCCCCACCGTGTTCTTGGGCATTGGGGTGAGGAGGCTATGGAACTTGGGGAGGAGAGCTGTTGGTTACACAGGGCTGTAGCAGCGGTCTCTGCTCCTGCTGCCTTTCCTGCAGCTCAGCCATACGCTGGAGCATTTCAGTTTGATGCTCCAGCAGCCAGAGCATCGACTCTTCCCTTCTGTCAGCAAGCTGACGCCACCTATCCTCTTCAGCCCGTGATTCAGCCCGCCACCTCTCCTCTCATTCATATTGTGCTTTTTTGCACTCTGACATTGACTGCCTCCATGCATTCTGCTGTGCTCTGTCAGCGTGGGAGGACATCTGGAGCTCCGAGAACATATCATCCCGAGTCCACCGTTTTCTCCTTCTAATCTTCACTAGCCTCTGCAAAAGAGAAACATTTGCAGCTGGTGGAGGAGAAGGGAGAGGTGGTTAAAAAAGACACATTTTAGAGAACAATGGGTACACTCTTTCACGTTAAATTTTGCTGTTCACATTACACAGCACATGTGCTTTCGTTACAAGGTCGCATTTTTCCTCTTATATTGAGGGCCTGCCGGTTTGGTGTGAGAGATCACTCACGCAGTGCCAGGCAACAGAATTCGGCTTGCAGGCAGCCAAGGTAAGCCACAGTCTTTTGGCTTTTTTAACCTTCATAACATGTGGGAATGGTTTCAAACAGCAGCACCCTCATTTCCCATACCAAGGACCCATTGGGTTGGCCATTTAAAATGGGTTTGCAGTGTAAAAGGAGGGGCTGCGGTTTCTGGGTTAACATGCAGCACAAACCCAACTACTCCCCCCCCCCCACACACACACCCCCCCATCCCTCGGGGATCACCACTCCCCCCCCCCCCCCCACCGCGTGGCTAACAGCGGGGAACATTTCTGTTCAGCCGAGCAGGAATGGGCACCTCTGAATGTCCCCTTAATAAAATCACCCCATTTCAACCAGGTGACCGTGAATGATATCACTCTCCTGAGAATAACAAAGAGAGATAAGGAATGGATGTTGTCTGCATGCCAGCAAACACCGGGACCATACGTGCTACTGGCCTAGCGTGGTAAAGTGTCCTACCATGGCGGACGGGATAAGGCAGCCCTCCCCAGAAACCTTTTGCAAAGGCTTTGGGAGTACATGAAGGAGGGCTTTCTGGAGATGTCCCCGGAGGATTTCCGCTCCATCCCCATACACGTTAACAGACTTTTCCAGTAGCTGTACTGGCTGCAATTGCCAGGGCAAATTAATCATTAATCATTAAACACACTTGCTTTTAAACCATGCGTAATATTTACAAAGGTACACTCACCAGAGGTCCCTTGTGTGCCCTCAAGGTCTGGGAGCACGCCTTGGGTGAGTTCGGGGGTTACTGGTTCCAGGTCCATGGTGATAAACATATCCTGGCTGTTGGGGAAACCGGATTCTCCGCTTCCTTGCTGTGAGCTCTCTTCATTGTCTTCATCATCATCTTCCTCGTACCCCGAACCCGCTTCCCTGTTGCGTGTTTCTCCATTGACGGAGTCAAAGCACACGGCTGGGGTAGTGGTGGCTGCACCCCCTAGCATCGCATGCAGCTCCGCGTAGAAGCGGCATGTTTGCAGCTCTGCTCCGGACCTTCCGTTTGCCTCTCTGGCTTTGTGGTAGGCTTGCCTTAGCTCCTTAATGTTCACGCGGCACTGCTGTGCGTCCCTGTTATGGCCTCTGTCCTTCATGGCCTTTGAGACTTTTTCTAATATTTTGCCATTTCATTTACTGCTACGGAGTTCAGCTAGCACTGATTCGTCTCCCCATATGGCGAGCAGATCCCGTACCTCCCATTCGGTCCATGCTGGAGCTCTTTTGCGATCCTGGGACTCCATCATGGTTACCTGTGCTGATGAGCTCTGCGTGGTCACCTGTGCTCTCCACGCTGGGCAAACAGGAAATGAAATTCAAATGTTCGCGGGGCTTTTCCTGTCTACCTGGTCAGTGCATCTGAGTTGAGAGCGCTGTCCAGAGCGGTCACAATGAAGCACTGTGGGATAGCTCCCAGAGGCCAATAACGTTGAATTCCGTCCACACTACCCCAAATCCAACCCGCATAGGCCGATTTTAGCACTAATCTCCTCGTCGGAGGTGGAGTAAAGAAACCGGTTTAAAGGGCCCTTTAAGTAAAAAAAAAAAAGGGCTTCGTCGTGTGGACGTGTCCAGGCTTAATTCGATTTAACACTGCTAAAGTCGACCTAAACTCGTAGTGTAGACCAGGCCTCTGACTCTCCATGGTTGGGAGAAATCATTATTTCACCTGTGCTTGCCTGTCTATCTGAATCTCCTCTTCTTCCCCTTTCCTTTCCCACAATTACTCCTTTGGCTTGCTTAATTTTCTGTCACATACTTTCTCAACTATTGAATCAATCATGTGAAATTTTGCCTTAAAAATGTACTTCTCGCTTTCAGCATAGGTTTTTCTTTGTAATGCCTTGAGGAATTACTGAGGACACCAGAACCAGATCTTTCACCCACTGAGGCCTGTGGCAAAATTCCTATTGAGCAGGATAAGGTCCACTTATTCAAAATAAAATGATTTAAAAAAAAACCACCCTGTCTCTGTGTGATTCAGGGAACAGTTATGAATATTATTAAGAAGCCATTTTATCTGGATAGTCATAGTTACTGGATTCAGTGCAATACAGGTCTAAATTGCTTTAGCTATAAAACAAAAACAGAAGAAATAAGTAAAATATCAGTGTTCATGAAAACCACAGTAACAATGCAGCTTCATTACAACAAACAACAATGTATAAAGGGCGAGACTGCTGACTGTATGTAAATCTAGTCATGCAAGACCAGCATTTTCACTTGCCTTGCTGTTGGTTTAAAACTACTGTTCTTTTGCATGTAAAATATGCATGTATACTATTCCAAGCAGCAAACAATAAGTTGTTTGATAATTCTGCTGCTGGCAAACTAAAATGATTGTCTGTTTTCTTTTCAGACTGGATCATTCCTTAGGGAAGCCTGGCCTTTTTCTTCCAGGTATGATGACTATATATTTTTTATAAAATGAATGGCTCTGTCATTCAGTAGAAATAACTGTTGGTAGAATAATGTAGACCAATCATACAGTCAATTGCTGGATGCAGTTAATAGGCCCAGTACAGCTGCAGAAGGATTGCTACTTGGCATTCATGTAGGGCTGCTGGAATTAAACAGAAACTGAGTACAGCTGTTAAAAATGTGTACACGGGCAAAGATGCCTGAAAACTTCTCCTACTATAAGATTTGCCATACCAAACTGCTTTCTAAACCATTTGTGGCTGGGTTTGGATATATATCGTTTACACTTAAAAAGGTCTCTTCCTTTTAGAAAGATTCTATGGGCTTGGATTTAGGATCAACATTTTCAAAAGCACCTAAGTCTTATTTTTACAAAGTGACTTTAGGCACTCAGAAGCATCAGTCTCACTGAAAGTCAATGGGATTTAGGATTCTGAGTGTCTGAGTTACTTTTGAAAATGTGACTTAAGCTCCTAAATCACTTAGGTGTTTTTGAACATTTTTACCCATATTACCCTATAGTTAAAATGAAAAATAACACAAGAAACAGTAATATCTCTCAAAATGGAAGAAACTTTTAAAGTCTGACCACTGCAGGGGACCTGCAGCAAAGTGGAATACACAGTATGCATTTCTGCCTCATAGCTAAACTGTTGTTTGGGCTGTAGGGAAAAAAATTGGCTAGCTTGCACACATTTATGTATGTTTGCACCCTGAGTTATATTTTTTTAAAGTGCAGTGTGCAAGCTGAGTTTTAGAAAATTTTGTGAGGCTTCAGGGTTTTGTTTTGTTTTTTTGTTTTTTACTTTGGGTTTAATATTACCAGATTAGAGCTATAATTTGTATTACTTGAACATAGCATTGGAGGTGACTGAAATATGTTTTATGAGACAGCTTTTTGTATCTAAGGCAGAGAGCGAGAGAGACATTTGACTGTAAAGAGCATAACTGTGAGATAACATTCCAAGGAATTTGTGAAGCTGGGTACTCTCCATCTATGCTTGATTAAGCATCAGATCCCACAGTCAAGGCTACTAAAGTTTAGTCCCTAAATCCTAGCTCCTTCAACCTATTTTGCCTATTTGGATGATCTCAAATAGCTTTAGGGATTTAAACAAGTGTTGAAATAAAGCCGTTTGGGGCCAAACCTGCCCCAGTGGCTGTCTGGGAGCTGTAATCAGCTCCATTCCAGGCAGTTCGCAAGCAGATACTACATTAGAAGCAAAGAATTTTCAGGGAAGAGTGGGGCCTGTAAGGTATCCCTGGATTACCAGCAGCCCTCAGGCTTGGCAGTGAGACCCTACGCTAGTGACATGGTCTGAAAACCCCATCCTGGAGAGTGGGGAGCAGTGGGGGGATTTCAATTCAAACTAGGGTCTGCTACAATTTTTTGTAATGAAAAATCTTGCCCTTCATTTTGCATTTATATTTTATTTGTCTTTGGAGAACGTATTAGTTTACACAAATATCCAGTAATACAAAGAAAAATTCTGGTAAGTCCATCTTCAGACCTGATTATGATGCACAGCCTTATTTGAGAGCAGACTTAGGATCACCAGGGCTCCTGGAGATATTTTATGCAAGTGATGCTTGCTGTTCCAGACAAGAACATTGCAGCCCCATCACTTAAACAGCTTCCTCTGCTAATCCATTCTTGGAACAGCCTTAGTGCTGAACGGCTGCTCTGAGACAACTTTTCCAGAAGTAACCATCTTTCAAAGGTGATGCTGCCAAGAATGACGCCACTCGCCATAGCCTGCCAGCTCTACACAGTTATGCCACTTGCAGGCAGATATGACAGCGCCCACAGGGGAGCTGGCAGCATCATAAATATCAACTGGAGAGGGGGGAAACTGGAGATGGTTCCTAATTGTCTCAGTTATGAGTTTGCAAGACAAAGAGCAGAAATGATCTGATCTACATCTTATTTTATCTGACCCTCTCCCTAAGTTCAAGAATGATGGGTAGGTCCAGATACAGTAAATAGTTCCAGATTTCACCCACCTCATTTTGTGTACTGGGTGACTTTAGTTTTGCAAAACTAAAACCAGAAGTGTTTTTGATTTCAGCCCTATTTTATTCAACAACATTCAGGTGAACTCAGCTAAATGGTTGTCGCTTGGCCCCTTTCTGATACTGACAGACACTCGCACTTTCCCATCCCCTCTGAGATGCCTGAATTTTCAGAGGCATGGCTGGCCAGTCTTGCACTAAAAAGGAACTTTTAAACAGTGCATTCTTCACAAGCAAAGACATTGCTGAGAATCTCCCTCATCAGCAATATCGGTGTATTCTCTAGTCTGTTGGATTTTTTGCATTCATAGCTGGCAAAGAAACGAGAAATAAAAATGCAGGGAAAATCAAAGTATTGAAAAGAAAAATACAAAAAGAATGTTGCCTTCCCAATGACTTCTTTGTGGTTTATTACCAGCTTTATTCAAAGAATCTTAAGGTCTGATATAAAGCCCATTGAAGTCAATAGCAATGTTTCGATTGACCGCAATGAGCTTCAGATCAGACATCTTTTGAATCTCTGTTGTCAATACTGACAACACTATACATGGTGTGATACTATAGATCTAGTTTTAGATTCACTAGTGAATGACATAAACATTGACAAGATAGTACAGATACATGATAGAAATAGTTTGTGTTAATTAGAAGTAATTATTGGCTGTTTTCACTCAAAATTCCTTAAAGACTAGAAATTTTAAAAAGCCAAAGAATATATTTTATTAAAGATAATGCTCAGTCACCTGGATAATTAATGGTCAAATTTTGAAAAGTGCCTAAGTCCCATTTTCAAAGTGAAATTGGAGATTCAGTAATATTTACTAAACAAAACAAACACCTATAAGATGGTACAAATAATAAAATGTAAAACAGTAACAAGCCACCTTCTGCACCTAATGAAATTCAGTGGTTTTGAATGCAACTTCAGAGAATCCCCATGGCCGTTCAGGAGCACAGGGGAAGAATAATGCCACAAAAGATTCAGTGTTTGGGTTCAAATAAATATCCAAAGGTTGGTGCCTCATCAGACCTGCCTGTGTGTGTGCAACACAACCGGAAATCTCACCAGAAACAGGCTTTCTTGTGAGATTTTGGGCACTTCTTCCTGCTTTTGGGTGGACTTAGCAGGAGTTTCTTATTTTGTGTCATTCTGTTTCCAGCCAGTAACTGGAAGTGGGAAAGAAGAATCTTTCAGAAGCTTAATAAATATTCCTCTATCATACCCCCCCTTAGATTGGAAAAGAGGAGGCTAAGGGAGGATATGATAGAGGTATACAAAATCATGAGTGGTGTGGAGAAAGTGAATAAGGAAAAGTTATTTACTTGTTCCCATAATATAAGAACTAGGGGACACCAAATGAAATTAATGGGCAGCAGGTTTAAAACAAATAAAAGGAAGTTCTTCACACAGTGCACAGTCAACCGGTGGAGCTCCTTGCCTGAGAAGGTTGTGAAGGCTAGGACTATAACAGGGTTTAAAAGAGAACTAGGTAAATTCATGGAGGTTAAGTCCATTAATGGCTATTAGCCAGGATGGGTAAGGAATGGTGTCCGTAGCCTCTGTTTGTCAGAGGGTGGAGATGGATGGCAGGAGAGAGATCACTTGATCATTACCTGTTAGGTTCACTCCCTCTGGGACACCTGGTATTGGCCACTGTCGGTAGACAGGATACTGGGCTGGATGGACCTTTGGTCTGACCCAGTATGGCCATTCTTATGTCTTATGTTCTTAAATGTGTTCGGATCAATTTGGCTTTTAAAATGGGTTAATATATGGGAATGGGAGTCAGTGTTTCTTTAAGTACTGTTTTACACACACACACCCCCAATAAAGATGAGGAAAGTGGGATCAAAAAGAAATCTGCCAGCAGAGAGAAAAAGCCCTTTAAGCAGACATCATTTTATATAGATACAGGCTGTTCTCCATCTTGCCTCTGAATGTGTTTTTCACTTCTGGGTGAAATTAGTTCCCTTGCAGAAACAACGACTATGCACCACTTAAGTCCCATTTTCAAAACTAGATGGGAGCCTATTCACCACTTACCTTGTCCCGCTACATATGGTCAAATTTCACCCCCTTTAAATAGTTACTAAGGATACGTACAGTATTTCATATTAAATTAGTCCCATCGTTATTTTATAAACATTGTTATGACTTCATGGCCAAATACTGGCATCCGCACATTCTGGAGAAGGTGCAGAAATACAACACAGCTATGTAACAAAATCCAATGTACTTCTGTTCTGCGTCTCAGTTGAAGAAGGGGTCAAGATTACTTAAATTATGACCAAAATGATCTAATCACTAAGCCCTAGATAATTTTCTTATCTATTATTTTAGAGATCCCAGATGTAAAAGAACAAATCTTTACAGGTACAGCAGTCTACCTGTATGGACTTTTAATTGCTTTAAAGAAGACAGAAAAGTGTGGTGTCTTCTATTAGCCCATTTCACTCCCAGTGACCCACAGTAGTGTGCTGGGCTTGATATATTTTCCTGAGATTTTGAGGTGCCTTTTGCAGTCTGGGCTACTCCACAGGTCACCCAGCTCAAATTCTCCCTTTTCTACCTTTAGAAAAATACTTCAAAATAGATATGAAAAAATCTCTAACAACTTCATAATTTATAAAGCAATAGTTTGAGATGTGCTAAAAATTGAGTCTGATCGCTTACCCTGTGAAAATGCAACAGATCACTTCCAGCTCAAATCATTTTCAGGCAGTTTGGCAGGAATTCATGTACTGAGTTACTACCCATAAGTATTTTTTCTCACTAATAAAAGAAACAAACATATTTTAACGTTCTTGTACATTATGTTCTGATGTGATATGGCATAGTACTTTAGTAAATAGTAACCTAAAAAAAGTCATCTTCTTCCATTTCACTTGTTCTTTTGCTCTTCCTCATTTTAGATGTGACATTCACTATTCCCTTGCAGAAAATGTTTCATAAGTGTTTCAATGATTTAATCTGTTCAATTTTTGGGTGACCAACTTGAGATTTCTTGTTCCTGGTTTTCATCAGTAGGAGCTGTGACTGGTCTGCACCTCTGAAAATAAAGAACAAGGTATCTCAAATTGTGCACTAAAAACGGGTGGTACCCCAGATTAGCGAACACTTCTGGAAATGTTATCTTACTTTTTTAAAAAAGTACTGTATGTGTGTATGTGGGGGGGGTGAATTTAGGGTTGCCAACTTTCTAATCACAGAAAACCGAACACCCTTGCCCCGCCTCCGGCCCCAGGTCCTTCTCCTGCCCCTTCTCTGAGGCCCTGCTCACTCCATCGCCCCTCCCTCCATCACTCACTCTCCCCCAACCTCACTCATTTTCACTGGGCTGGGGCAGGAGGTTGGGGTGTGGGAGGGGGTGAGGGCTCTGGCTGGGGGTGCAGGCTCTGGGGTGGGGCTGGGTGGGTTTGGGGTGCAGGAGGGGGCTTCAGACTGGGGCCGAGGGGTTCAGAGTGCGGGAGGGGCTCAGGGCTGGGGTAGGGGATGCAGGCTTCGGCTGAGGTGTGGGCTTCGGGGTGGGACCAGGATGAGATGTTTGGGGCTCAAGAGGGGGCTCTGGGCTGGGACAGGGGGATGGGGTGTGGGCTCTGGGAGGGAGTTAAGAGTGTAAGAGGGGGTTTTGACCTGGGAAAGGAGGCTAGGATGTGGGAGAAGGTTGGGATGTGGGCTCCGGCCAGGCAATGCTTATCTCAGATGGCGGGGCTAAGGCAGGCTTCATGCCTACCCTGGCTCCACATGGCTCCCGGAAGCAGATGGCATGTCCGGCTCCTAGGCTTAGGGACGGGCGGCCAGGGGTCTCTGTGCGCTGCCCACAGGTGCTGCCCTCACAGCTCCCATTGGCCGTGGTTCCCAGCCAATGGGAGCTGCGGAGCCAGCGCTCGGGGCAGGGGCAGCATGTGGAGCCCCCGTGACTGACCCTGCGCCTAGGAGCGAGACATGCTGCCGCCTCTGGGAGCCGCGCGGAGCCAGGGCAGGCAGGGAGCCTGCCTTAGCCCCGCTGCGCCACCAACTGGACTTTTAATGGCCAGGTCAGCGGTGCTGACCGGAGTCGCCAGGGTCCCTTTTCAACTGGGCGTTCCAGTCAAAAAACAGTTGCCTGGCAAACCTAGAGGAAGAGCACATCAAGGGGCAGCAATTTATATAATAATGATAAAGTCTAGAAATGAACTGGATGACTCAAAAGATATTCTCTCTCAATCTGATTGTACAGGATGCTTCCTATTGTACATCTACAAGTGTTTTACCTAGTCTACATTTAAATAGAGTAAGTGATAGGCATTTATCATGTTCCTAGGAAGATTACCCCACTATCTGATATTGACTAGCATCAGGAAGTCTTTCCTGATATTTAGCTTAAATTTTCCTTATGTAATTTCATCCCATTATACTTAATTATACTCCCCTCTTCATAATGATCTTCTCCCTTTTTTGTGTGTGTTTATGCACTTCGCATATATATTTGTAAAGTGTTAATATTTGTGTGAGCCAATATATTACCATATATTACACACACAAAAAACCCACCCAGCAACCAACCCTACATTAAAAGAATGTTACTTAAGTTACAAAGTAAAAAACACAAAAGTTAAGAAGTTTCAGGTTTACAGTTGTTTGTCCAACCTTTTCCTACTATTTACAAAGGCAAATAATCTAGTATGCAGAAGAAGGAATGGGAGGATGAAATACTATATTTTGAAAAGACTGTAGAAGAATACTATAAAAACAAGACAGAAATGAAATACATTAGAACAGTGTTATTTGAGCTAGTGCCCATCCTTCTGCCACAAGGCTTCCCAGATTGACTACACACCCAGTTTACTTTTATGAAAAGACTGCAGCGTTTATTAGAGGGCAATACTTATAAATTACAGCTGAAATACCTAACTAAATGGAGGCTAACCAGAAGCAGGAAAGATTGCTGCCTTCTGTGAGATATAGAGCATGCATGTCAGAAAAGTGAAAGCCATGCCACAGCTGACTGAGCATTGCATGACATGTTTTTCACTTCACTTGAGAGGAATGCCACAAAATAGCTGCACCCCCGTCCAACTGTTTGTCTAAGCAATTCCTGTTTTCTTGTTTTCTCTCCTACATAATGGACTGGAGTAGTTAAAATGAGAAATATTATTAACTTGTTTAGTTTTTGTTTGGATAGCTTGTGCATAGATGAATTGTGTAATTAGAGCTGGTTAGGAAATTATTTTTCCCAGGAAAATTTTCAACATTTTTTTAAATTAATTTTGATCAAACATTTTCTTCAGATTTGGCGGAGTTTTGCAGAAACCCCAAAAAATGATTGTTGTGGGGGGTTCAGCAAGTGAAAACTGGAAAATATGGGCTCAAAACCCACAAAAAATCAGTATTTTGATTGCCAAAAATTGCACTTTTTCAATTAAAATTCAAAATATGATGTTGACATAAAATTTCTGTTTCAACAAAAAACTCTCTTCCATACAAAAACAGGTTTTGAGGGAAACATTTCTACCAGTTCTATGTGTAACCCATTGATTAAGTTGTGAACCCAGAGTTCCCTCCTGAATGTTAGAAATGCACATAGCATCTCTGCCTCTGGATTTCATCTGATCTAAAAGCTGTGTAAAGTTTCCTATAGCCTGTTGACTTGTGCCTTTGAAGATGGTCATGTGCAATTCTACCAAAAAGTATTTACTCTGTAAAGATGTTTAAAATATAAATGGGGTCTTGCCTACTTGAGATGGGTAGGAAGTTAAGATTTGGGATATAGAGCTCTGATCTCCCCACTTCTATTCAACCACACCCCAAGGGATTGTGAAGCACAGATTTAGAAAACATGCATATTTGTCCTAATACACATGGGGGAATGTCAGGATTCTACATACTTGCAATTTAATGCATAGGCTGCTGGGTACCTATCAAATCCGCAAATTCCACTTTTGGTGGAGATGAGCCAAACCAGGATCCTGAATCTGTCTCTTCAAGTTTCAGAGGTTTATGAGTTCTTAAACTAATGAGTTGTCCAAATAGCACAAATCTCTGGATCCAGCCAGGCCACTCTGCCCACAAAATGCCTCCAACCGTATTTGTGTTGTCTACTTCTGGGGAAAGATTGGTGACCTGCTAGCTACCTCCCCAGTTTCTTTGATAAAACTTCTCTCCTATCTAATATCTTCAGAAGGCTGCAGGCAGGGCCATTGCCCTCCTAAAATCTCGGCGTGTCTTCGGGGGGAGAGGGGCGGCCAATAAGTATCCCTCCTCCCAAACTCACAATACTAGAACATTGCACAAGAACTGCTCCCTGCTGTGGCCACCCACACTAAGAAAAATGGGTCAGCATAGCTTCTGTTCAACTGTTTGGCGCAGCCATTCAGGCAATTATAACCAAATAGAGGGTGGCTTCTGGGCCAAACCTCAAACAACCAATCCAGCTCAACGTGTGAAAAAGGAATGTAAACGTGTGAAAAAGTCACATTTCTAATAGCAAACTGTTTGAATGCATGTTTTCCATCAGAAATTTACAACGTTTTGCTTTTGTTGTGTGAAAAAAAAATCACTAATTTGAAAGCAAGCATTTTAGTTCATTGGGTGAAAATGTCAGAAGTGCCTAAGTCCCATAGACTTAAGCTCCTAAGTCACTTAATTGACGCATGGAAATTTAGGGCTGGAAAGGACCACAAGAGGCCATCTAGTTCAGCCCACCGAGCTGAAGTAAAACCAAGTATAGCTAGCTAGGGAGGCCATTTGTCTGGTTTTAAGCCACACAGTCCTAGTCCATGGAGCACTGTCCCTGTCCGGTATGGACTTAGCACCCAACGTGCCTTTGTCCACTGAAAAGGAGGGGGAAGAGGAATCGACTGGATGCAGGAAGGCAGGGACAGGGGTGGGGGTGCAGATGGGGATAGAGACAGGGGAGATGCCTTCATGTGAAGTGAAGCAGGTGGAGACGGGCTCACGCAGGCGGGGACAGGGATGTCTTGTATTCTGGGGATGTGCTAATGGCCGCTGTATACCTAGCCGATCCATGATAGGTGTTAGGTGCTTTTGAAATTTTTACCCATTATGAATATTTTTTGCAGCTCATAATATAATTATTATTTCTGATTTGTTACTGTAGTGCTTAGAAGTCCCAACCAAGAATTGTGGCCCCACTGTGCTAGACACTGTACAAACACAAGAGACAGGCCCTGCTTTGAACAGTTTCCACTTTTAAGTACCAATCCTTCAATTCAAGATCAGGGCCAACACAGGCAAGACAGAAAAAGGGTAGGAAGAGAAATGAGGACAAAGAAAGGTATAATGACTTGCCCAATGTCTTAGCTGGGAATAGAGCCCAGGTCTCCTAAATCCCAGGTCAGTGTCTTGTCAACTGGACTATACTGCCTGTCACATTTATAAACGTGAAGATATAATATGTGTTCTTATATAAAAGTATGCATGACTGTATAGTTAATATGCACAGATTGTGTAAGTGGTACATATAGACATATGTACACACACCATATTACATGTGTACCCAATCCCTCTTTCACTCATACAGTCTATGAAATAAAAATTACTTGTTGCACTCATCAATATCACCCTAACTTTTTACTAGCTTCTATTTTGCTTTAAATCCAATTAAATATACTTCTTAGTTTCAGCTTATTCTTTGTCTAATGACTGTCACAATTTTTTTTTCTTTTAGAAAAAGGGGTAGACAAAGGATACTATACTGTAGGAGCCAGACTGATCCGGTTAGAGGATAAGGTAAGTGTATGAAAGCTTTTTTTTTCCCCCTGGCTAATGATATCTGATCTACAGGACTGCAAGATAATATCTTTGCATGATTTACTTTAGAACTATGGGGCACCATAATAAAGAAAAATATCCTAATTTTTGTAAGGGATTTGATGAAGTTACATTCTTATGTTGTTAGCACTTTTAACCATTTAACTGCCATGCAAACTTGATTCTTGATATCAAGTAGTAATACTTTCATGTTAAAGGTAGGTCACATAAGTCTGGTAGACAAATACTGCATAGTGACAAGGTGTCTGTCATACCAGAATTAGTATATTAAAGATAATAGAGAGGCCATTATCAGCATTATTTGTAAATAGCAACAGTTGATATCTCAGTTTTATCATAGCAGACATTCTCCACTACAGCTTATTTTAACATTTGAGAGAAAGCCTGTCTGTGATCAAGGATATCCATTGGTTATGTGTGTCTCTCCCTCAAGTTGTTCATTTAGTTGTTTCTTTTTTGAATTATGTGAAGGGAGGGGGGGAAAGTTTTGGCTCTTCTTAAGAAACCACAGTGCACCTTACAAAAATTATGTCAAAATGATACAAAGGTGAAATTCCACCAGCCACCTAACATTGAAAGAACTTTATCATAATAACACGGAAATATACAATGCTGTGATCTTGGATAACTGATTTACCTAGACTTTTACTTTCTTGGACCTGAATGGGTTGTGTCTTAGAGATAATATACTTCAGGGCAAAGGAAACAATATATATTAGGTCTGGAAATATAGTATATGAAGGATATCTGTGACAATACTTCGTCAATTTGTGTGAGAAATAATTCCAAACATTAAAAGAGCGATTGCCTTACTAAATTAGTAGTATGTATGCTTCTGACTCCTCCATGTTATGAAGAAGAGAAATTAGTGTATCCTTACTGCTTCTGCCGCTGGTCCAGGCTCAAGGTTTTATTGGTAATGGCTTCAGAAATTTTAATTTGAAATTCTCAGCGGTAGCTGGCTGGAAGAGGTAGAATGGTGTAACAGATGGAATACCGTGGAACGTTCTCCCAGTGAATAACATGCTATATTGAATAATCAGCATTACAGCCCTTGTTCTTGTAGCTTAAACATATGCAAGCAAATCAAATTCTAGTAGTTTCCCAAAGGCTTTTATTTTCATCCACTTTGCATCAACATAAAAGTTTTAAGGTGGTAAAATAATGAGGGATTTACATTATCATTATAAATGTCCATTATAAGAATGTATTGCCCACCTATTGAATGGGTTTATTTTGGAACCTATTTTGCAGGGTTCTTGGAGCAGCATCTACACTAGCTCAAAAATCCATGATAAAGCCATATTAACATTGATCATATATAAATATGATTTAAATGTTGTTGCGAGCTCAGTTTCAATTGGGGTTTGGGCAAGGCCTAACTGCTTTTCTGATTGATTGATTGATTGATTCTAGCATAGCTTTTTAACTTTCCACATGTTGTATTGGAACTGCTGATTTCTATCTCTATATTTATTTTCTCCAGAACAATGAAGGGAATAAAAACATATGAAGATAATTTATTAGGTGAACCTGCAAAATGCATGCAGTGTTTCCAGCTTCCTTTATGTGCTCAGAACAAACTACAAATACAAAATAAAGGCAAGCAGTGAAGTCTGCCCCACAATGAAAGCTAAATTGTTTGCTTTTTCGGTACAGCTTAACTTTCATTCGTTGTTCATGACATCAGTCCTATCTCAAGAATGTAACTATGGTATGCAAAAAAAGACAAACCTTTCTTGTTTGCTGTTTTTTTTTTTTAAATGAGTGAATATGTTTGCATCTTTTTTGCACACAAGGCTAAAATATGTATGTTTACATAGTAGGAACAAAGTTAGGCTTCCCAGATATCCCTGTTTTAATGGGACAATAGAAACTACCACATCCTGCTGTCAAACTGCTTCCCCTCAACCGTTTTCCCATATCGCACCAATTCTTGTTTTAAATGGTTTTCCCTATGGTAAGTACTACGTACCCAAATTTGAAACAATTGGGAGTCAGGAAGGGCAAAGCAGTCTTCAGTCTCTAAGCAGAATAAATGGAGTGGGGGCATGTCTGACGTGAGGCTCCAGCTGGTAATGAAAAATGACCTGCCCCTTGGAACTTGGAAACCTTTGGGATGAAACCCATTGCCCTAGAGAAATTGTTTTAACATGCAGTCACCCGAGGCAGACATGGCAGCCTCCCAATCCAGTGACACATCTGATAAAATGACACACTTTTGGACAAAGGCTAATTGGTTTAGATTGATAAAAATGCAGCTATGGATTTTTATTTTTTATCCAATTAAAATTTTGTCTCAGTAAGCAGTTAACATGCTTCTGCTCCAGACTGATCTTTCCCACCAGCATTTTCTAGTAGATTGCTTTTACCTTTATGTACAAAAGGGGATTACACATAATTCACTCATTCAGAGGGGTGTGCATTGTTCTACACAGAGCCATAGTAATTGTTTGTTTATAATGTTTCAGAGAGAAACGAGGTATGGATGGACTTTAGTCTCTTTCATTTAAAGGTTTCTTATTGTTTTGGTTTAAGCTTCTCAACCTGCCAAGTACAGGACATAATTTAGGACAAAGACCCCAAAAAGGTGAATAAGTAACAGCAGTGCAAGAAGCTTGCAAAGATCAAAAAAACAATGGGTTCTTTTTCTTTAACATGAAAAACATTGTCTGTAACCTCAGGTTTAATCACTGTTAGTGCTTCTGAAGTAATCTTACCGTAATAAAAATGTGATAAGAACAGGTTTGTGCAGGATGGAATAGCATGTGAGTTTACAGTGAAGGAGAGTTAACGTACCCCTGCGTAACTTTGTTTAAAACACTCAAAGCCTGGTGGGAGAGGGATAAAACACATGGTGGCAGATTCCAGACAATATGTAAAACCCCCAATATGTAAAAACATTAGTGCTATGTAAGGGTTTACTACTTCATTAACATGGCATGTTGCGTAGTATAAGTTTATGCAGAACACTTTTCAACCTGCTCTTCTCAGAGTAGGTTATAAAAGGTGTATTTTGTTGTGGTGAGCATAATAACCTATTGTGGTGAATTTCATAACACAGAGATGTGAACAAGAACAAGAATGGAGCTGCTTTCCCAATGATACGTGCCAATGATATGTGCCATTTGGCCGACCCTTCCTTTAGTTCAATGGCAGGGTTTAATTTTAAATTGGGGAATGTAGCCATTGACAGATTCTTTTGAAATGCATTAGGAGGGAGATCATTTCCAAGATGATGTTCTAGAGTTGGCATTAGATTCTCTTTAAAATTGTACACTAATGCCTCTTTATGATGAAATGAGTACTATATCTTTTTCCCCAAAAAAATTAGAAACAAAAATCTCGATGTACTGTGTCAAACTGCCCAGCAACCTATAAATAAAAACAGGAGAGAAAAGAATCTACAAATGGAAGGTTAAAAGGGACAGCTGTGTTGTCTTTGAAAAAGAAATCTATTAGGTATTTTTATAATTATATGGCAGTCTTCTTTATGTGGTATTTACAGTTATGATTTACATCCATATTACCATAACTATTTCCATGCTTACCGACAACATGTGATAATGGTAGGAGCCAAAAACAACCATTTGGTAGCATTTAAAAAATGCAGAAATGCTCAGAGAAAGCAGGGCAGTAAAGTTGAACCCATCTGAGTAATGTGAGCCAGAACAAAAGCATGGTCCAAAATAAACAAATGAGGGGGTTGGATTGTGGTGGTAAGCTCTCTCTTTACCAATTTAAACAATAATTCTAAACTTGGAAGTAAAACGATGGGCTCTGAGAAGAGTGGTTTCTGTGCATCCTTCTTTTGGATAACAATAGCAAGATTGATGCTCAATGAATCTGACTCCTGCTGTAATTACATCAAGAGTCATTAAATAGTCATCATCACATTGTTTATCATGGTGGCGTCTGCAAGCACCACCATAGTTAAAGGTCTGTCAGCCTTTCCATTATAAACCCTTAATTTGTGGGGTGGGGAGGAAGGGCATAATTCAGCTGTTTAAAAAAAATTGAGGCTGAAAATTAGTGTACAACAAGTCAATTAAATCTGTTTGTGAGGGTTCAAGAATACATTAAAAATAAACCCACCAAATAAGTTTGCCAAGTTAACATTTTGGAGGGGAAGGACAATTGTGGAGTTAAATCGGGGTGGGGTTTTGTTGTTTTGGGGGTTGTGGTTTGGTTGGTGGTTTTTTTTGTTGTTGTTTGTTTTTTGTGGGTTTTTTTGGCACCCTTGTTGCTTAAATATTGATTAACATTTTATGATGAAACTTTTTACACAACTGATTTGTAATATGAGTTATTTGGTTTTGGTGTTTCAAAGAAACCAAAATAACTTAAACAGTTTGGCTGATGATGATGTGTTTGTGTCCACAATTAATGCAGTTAAACGTACCCACATTGTGCTGTTAGATCTCTAATGGAGAATGAGTAATATTGTCTATACATAGTCTCAACATATGCCACATTTGGTCCAAAGAGACAGTGTGAGAGATTTTGTGACTGTGTATTAAGAGAATACCACTAAAGTGGGCCAAATTTGACTCTTATTTACACCAGTGTAAATCCAGAGTAGATCCATTGACTGTCCTCATAGCATGAAGTAATTTGACTAAAACTAGTGCCTAATTTGAAAAAGAAATCAAAAGAAATCCACCAAATTTTGCTCTTGTTTACTTCAGTGGAGTTATTCTGGATTAACAGTGGTGTAAGTGACAGTAAATTTGGCACAAGGATTTAAACCTAAAAAGACAAGGTTCCCAGTTCTGCCCTCACTCCCTATAGAACCCCACTCAATTAATTGGGTTTGCACAGGATGTAAGCAAACGCAGACTGATGCTCCAAAAGTTCAGTATTAAGGCTGAACAGAATTCTGTTTTCACTCCACTCTACAAAAGTATTGCAGGCATCCTGATGGTGTGTGTGAATTGGTTTTCCACATATGCTGTAGT